AACAGTTGATGCAAGGACATACAAAAAAGAATTCACCTCTAGGGATGTGTTCTTTTGAGGGTATATCTCATTAACAATTTCCAAGGTAAAAGTCCCATTGGGTGGTGATGGAAGTGTCAAATGGCGTGACTCTAAGGAGTACTCCCCCTCCTAAGATGAAAAAATGAACATATTGCTGTCAGTAGCATATTCATAAATCCAAACACTACATTTCCATATAAAGAAATATCAATATCAATTCTCAACTTAGAAAAAGTAGCTCCGCAAGGATTACTTAAACATAAAACGTTATAGCTTTAGTGAACGCTGCACACTTTACACTGATTCTAGCTCTAGTGCCAAGTTTAGCATGCTACTCTGAGAAAGCTATGGCAATTATATACAAAGCTACTTTGGGATTTGAATGGCAATTACATACCTTTAGTTCCTTTCCATTAACCTTGATTGAGAGTAGCTTTAGGTCTACTCCATCCAAAACCAGTGGAGCAGAAGAACCTGTTTCATGAGATATTTCTTTGTCAGAAAACAGATAGTGGCTATAATAAGGGATTATTTGAATTGAAGTAAACGTGAGCTTAGAAGAAAAGCTGTGTCAAGTAAAATAGATACATCCAGAATTCGAGATCAACATTTGGTTGGTAGAAGCAGAGAATGATAACAAAATTACCTTCGACCCTAGGGTACACAGTTATTTTTGAACCAACAATTGTCTTCTCCTCACCCAATGAAAATTTCAAATCCACCTGAAAAGGTTGTTCCATTAGTAGAGAAGAAGACAAACCAAAGCCATGTTTGAGATCTCAAATCCTGACCAGTTCATATTCTAATTTGAGTTTTTGAATAAATACCGTGCCAAAGTAGTAATCAGGTAACTTGTAGTCCTTCAGAAAGATTTCTTTTGGTGTATTCATTGTGGATTCTTCAACTTCCTTTGACTTAGTTGGTGTGGCAACCGAACAAATTAGCCTCCTTCCTGTTGGCCTAGCCCTCTGGAAAACTCAAAAAATAACAAAATAACATATCCAAACCACAAGAGATTACATCATCTTCTATTATGAGAATGTCCATGAAAATCTTAATATCAGAATGAAATTCAGAGAATCAACATACATATAAATGTGATGAAGAAGAATACAGAAAGCCGTAATTCCTTCTTTGTGCGACCTAGATAGAAACATTTTATTATGATTAACAACAAGCCTACAACCCCAAATATTAAACTTCAATAAAAGCAAAAGGCAAATGATATGTAGAGAAGGTAAAATGTGGGCATAATCACAGAAATAAAAGAAATCTGATCTTGATGGAAAATGAAGGAAAAATTACAAACCTCTGATCTTGACAAACACCTGTACTGAGAGATATTCCTCACAGAAATCTGAAAGGAACTGCCACAGCTTTTAGGCCAAAACTGCAAAATAAAAAGATAGCAAGCACTTAACAAGTGAACCCAGCGACTATACTACTCACCTGATGACAAAATGTGCAACGTTAAACAATGCAACTGCACTATAAAACTCATGCACCATGCAATGCAGTGAGTAATTAATACTTGAAAACAGAAGGATTTGACAGCAAATATCAACTTCCTTAAGAACAAACATGATGTAAACTACACAAACTTTGTAATAATCTAAATTAAACCCATAATATACTGTATTCATTCATTGAAGAACATCCAAGACTAATCAACATCAAAAAAATATTTAAGAAGAACACAAGAAGGCCTACATGGGGTGGGAGAACCATGCATAAAATTGGGAATCGCATCAATTGTGACGAAGTGTATTGACGATACGTTATATGCAGAAAAAAGGAAATGTAGCGTATATAGCAAACACGAGAAAAAGAGATTAAGTAATCACAGGAGCAGATGAGATCAAACCCGAGAGGTTGGTCCTAGCCAAACACGAACTCTTGCAAGGAAGAACGAAGCGAGCCATCAAAATTCAAACTAACCTATACGAGCTACACTATTCAGTATTTGCT